ATAGCTCCGATATATGTTCTTCTGTGTCCTTTAATATCTGAATAGTGGTTTATCCCACCTAATGATATTCTAAAATTAAATTAATTAGTTTGTTTTTTGATTATAATGCAATGAAATAATTATGTGAATCAGTTTTTAAAAACAAGTTAGTTAATTAAACCTTTTAAAAGTTCGATTTAACGAACTGGAAATAGCTTTAGCGATAGATGTCTTGCCAACACCAGGTGGCCCAATMAAACAAAGTATAGGYCCTCGACGATCTGGGTTCAATATTTTTACAGCWATGAATTGCAATATTCTATTTTTCACCTTTTCCATGCCATAATGGTTTGATTTCAATACCTTCAAGAATACAAAATAATTAATCTTAATTTTAAAACAGGTGCCTTCATTAATAAATATTTACATTTTTAGCTTTTTCCAGATCTAAAGTTTCATTTGTACGTTTTTTCCATGGTAAATTTGCAACATAGCTGATATAATTTATAAGTACAGAATAATCAGGATTGCTAGTACTCATTTCGTGAAGTCTTTTAAATTCTTCCATAATCGTTTTATGTATTGGTGTTGGCATTCCAGAATCTCTGAATGAAACAAACAATAGCAATAAAATAAATAAATATAAATACATTTTTTTGATATGTATGATATGCATACACATATCATTCATATCATATAACTTACTGAATGGTTGTTTGTAATTGATTTAATTCTTGTGAATTTGGTTTCTTCAGTAAAATACTCCTATTCCCATTAGTAGCAGTAAGAATTATAGATGGGATTGGAATTAAAACGGGGTTTTCAGATTTTGAATATTTGTTTTCATCTAGAATATAATAAACGTAATATTAAAGTCCTCCAATTTAAATTTTTAATAAACTGAAAAATATTCTATAATATAAATATTACATACTAATTGTTTCTCTTTTTAGCCAATTTGTAACAAATTTCAATATATCATTTAAGCTTGTAGCTCTAAGAATTGTATACGTATCAGATGGAGTTAAATGTACATAATTTTTCAGAATGTAATCAACGGTTTTATATAAGGGAGCATTTTTGAATGCTATCTGTAAAGCAAATAATATGTTCGGTAACTCAGTGAAATAATAGGTACTTTTAATTATATTTGCTTATACCTTTAAGGATTCTTTTGCTGATGGATTTAATGTTATTCCTTGGTTGGAGTATGCTAAAAATACATTCACTGTTTTACTAAATTCAACATATAATTCTTGTTTTTCTTTTTCATCACCTAAATTATGATATGTTGAGTTAATGATTTACATTATATATTTGAATTGAGTATTAATTACCTTGGAGGATTTGAAAATTTTTAATTATTGTGACCTTATTACTTTGTAATGGCGCTTCATGAATCTTCATGTCTAATTTAAAACGACATATTCCTTGTATGACCAAAACAAAGTCTTGAGGCACAGAATCAATTTTAATTATATTTAGAATCAAACCTACAGTTCCAATTATATTGTTTGCCTAAAATGTGTTAATAATAATGATTAATATGCTCTAAGTGTAATTTTTATTTTTATTATTATTATAAAATATTAATATTTATTTTTAACTACCTTATCAAAATCGGATATTGGTATTACACCAATAAATGTGGTTTTTGAACCATAATTAGTTTGAGCATAATTCAATACATTAGCGCTAAAAATATTTAAAAATTTATATATACATATATATTTTATTATGTTTCAAAACTTAAGAACCTAATTTTATAAACAACTAATTTCACTTTTCACAACATAATTTCAATGCATGGATTTTAGTTATTGGTATACTAATCTACTTCAAAGCAAGATAATATTATTGCTTTTTCTTTATTAAACTACGACTTAGGAAACACTAAACTACTCGATAAAAAAATCAACTATGCTTGTCATTTGTTATTCGGTTTATTTATTATAAGATGGTCTAATAAATCAGATTTTCAGTTTAATTTGTTTATGATAATATGTACCAACATAAAAACAAGCATAATAGTTTTACTGCATGCAGATTTTCATAATGCAACAAGGCAACATTATCTTTTGAAGTTACGAACTAATACAGTTTTACCAGCTCTAGTCTGGTAAATGTACACRAAATGGGATAGCTAAATTTTTAAAATATTTAAAAATATAACTGTGTGATTTCTGATGAATATTGCAATCCTAAACACTGTACATCTTCTACTGATACCATCGTTGAAAATGGCTATAGTATATAATATCATAGTTAATCAAACAAAAAGGTATGATACATTGCTTGAGAACTTAAAGCAATAGTTATATTTTGAATCATATCATGCTCTAAGTAATTGTTTAATAGTTTATCTGGTCATGAACTTATCATACTAATATTCCTACTAAATAGTTCAATAATCATTACATGATAATGTATGAAACCTATTTAAAATAAATGTAATATTTTTTATAGTAATATGTATCATCAAATGTTTGGAAACCTTCAACTCAAGTATCATATATATTGAACTGGCCTAGTCTGCTCCTGGTATGTCATGTCTTACTTGTGGGATCATAACACAATAACTGAATATTAAAACAAAAATAAAGATTAAAGTATCTATCTTATAACATAACAACTAATATTGTCATTAATAATTGAAGAATATCTTAAAGTATTAAAGTACACTAGATATTGATTATTTATAAATGTTTTTATATTATATTGTTTTCTTACTATTCGTCAACTTGTAATCGAAGCTTCAAAATAAAATCRGGAATTAAAATTGGAGTTGTATAAATAATAGGCAATTCTTTGGGAATATCCATTATTTTTTTAAGATTGGCAAACTAATAAAGTCTTAATAGTAAAAACGTTATAGTTCCAAAACGTTATTTGAAAATTATAATATTAAAGGATTAGGAGTTAGAACAAAATAAAATGAAGACAGAAACTGGCGAACTAAAACACAATATTAACATTATTTAACACAAAACACACGAGAAAATTAGTTAACCGACGTCAGACACACCGTACAACATGCGGTAAATGACAATGTGCCCATTGTGGCATAAAAATTGAGTACTGATTAGCTGATATACAGGCAACAACATGACTAAGCAAAAATCGACAGCAATAAAATGGTTTAGTCCATGATTTAAGTGGACGCTACACCCCCATCCCCATGTGTTGTTTCCGTTTTACAAATATAAAACAGTGCGAAAACTGTTTTGCGCGGGAAACAACCACTCAAGCTGTAATTCAAACTAAGCAATCAAATTTTCACAATATATAAAGAGGAGAATATTTATTGAGAAATGTTGTTTTTAATTTTTCGACATCACAAATACGAAAAAAGTTCTTATTGTTTAAGAATTCATTATTTTGAGTTTTTCAAACTTGTGAATAATTTTTTTTTAAATTCTGATTTCGAAAAATTAAAAACAACTTTGCATTGTAAATATTGTCCTCTTCATAGTGTGAAAATTTGGTTTCTTAGCTTGGATTACAGCTTGAGTGGTACTTTCCCACGCAAAATGATAAATTGTCTACCGAAATCACAATTAAAAACAGTTAAAAAGTCACCACTAGCGCTTGAATTTAATAGTGGCTATAACCTCTAAATTGAAATAGGTACTGTGCTGGTGGGTAGCGTGCTGTATGGTAAATAATAATAATTCAAGGAAAATGTGGGCTCTATAAAATTGGCTCCCAAATTTTGGGTAAATATGAATTAGACCCTTGAATTGGCTCCCTAAACTTTAAAATATTATTATTTAATTAGGGATTCTCATATTATACGCTTTTACTTTTAAGACAAATTTAATGAATGAATATTATTATAATGTTTATTCTACATTGCACCTAGTATATCTTTATATATAAATGTGAAAATGAAAACCTATGAGTGATATGTTCTCGGGAACTACTGAACCGATCGTTATGATTTTTTTTTTTTTTAATTAAAGAGCTCATTGTGTTGAAGGTTTTTTTTTTGTAAACCATTTATTAACTATAATAAAAATACTAGTACAATTAGTACCTATACTTTAACAGACATTTTAAAAATTTTAGGTTTAGCTATCTTATTTAAGCATAGCTTGAGATGAAGGTAGCGAGTTATTTACAAAGTTATTTCCTTAGAGATTAAAATATAGCATATTATACAATTTACAAATATGTCAAAAATAAACAACAAAAACAAATAAATAAGAAGTTATAAACTAGATACTTGAATTTACAAATTAGTTATAAAAACATTAGTTAGGTATTTATTTATATTAATATTATTACTTAATCTAAGATACCTTTTGACATTAATTTCTAGGTAATTGAATGTTGGCCTTAAATAGTCAAAAAATTTCTGACCAAAACATTTTTTAATCGATAACTAACGCATTTGATCGATTCTCTAACTTAATAAACAAAGGAGTTATCAATTATTATAAATTATAAATTTCCATAAAATTCAGATCGAAATTTTTGTTTATAAATCGTTGCCATGAATTATAGTTAATCGTTTAAAGTCGTTGCCACGAGAACAAACAAACCATTTATTATAATACATCGACTATTTGTTATTGTACATATTCAATTATTAAAAATTAACGGGCGTTGTGCGCGGTGAATGCATTCCGTGGCTGAAAATATTTAAAATATTAATATTATATTTACTATTTCAGTCTGCTAATCCCATTCACTTCGTTGACCGTTAAATATTAATATTTATAATTAAATAGTTTGTCATATAAATTTAGTACATTTAACGGGCAACGAAGTGCACGGGATCAGCTATACATAGTACTTTTATAAGAATGTTTATAAATAAATAACATTATTACATAATGACCTTCAATTATACTAAAATAATATGGATAAAAATATAATTTAAATTTAATAAATTACTATTATAATATTATTCTACATTACATCTAGTGTATTATACTCTTTTTAAATGTGTATTAATAAAAAAATGCTCTAAAATTTAAGCAGCGCAATTGGTATATTGACCTTAATTACAAATTTTGTTTTAGGTACAACTGGTCCATGTCCAATGTAATACCGTAAACCATGTGTTAATATTAAGAATTAAAGATTAATAAACGTTAACTACTTTAGGACATTATGTCTACCCAACTTTAAACTAGGTCTTGACAACATTTTAGAAAATTTTTGAAAAAAAAAATATTAGGGAACCTATTCAATAGTAAATTTTTTGGGAGCCAATTCAAAGGTACTTATTAAGGGTAAAATATTGACTACCTGTATTGGGGAGCCAATTTAATTGCGACAGAAAATATAACTTTATCTTTTTATTACTATACAAAAGAAATCCTCTATTACTCGTGTTTTACATACAATACAAAAGAAAAGGGGCGAATGGTAGTATCGCTACTTACCGCAATCCCGAGATATTATCAAACTGCCGTCCAAATTGGCACCAAGGATATTTATAAGTGGGACCACTTTATCTTTTCTAGATTGTGTTCTATACTCCATTTCAAAAGATAAGACACCATTTCTGCGCAGCGGGGCAGTGTATAGCCACCCCCCCCCCTTACACATTAAATGGTCCATTTCCACTAAACTCTATACATGGAAGACGMACAGAATCTTAATACTTGTCCCCCTAAGAAACAGTGATATATTGATGTTTGCTAACGTATATCCCCCTCGACAAAACCCTAAATATGCCCCTGATAAATAAATATGTAGTGCGGTCGTATGCTCAACTGCGGAAACGCTCTGATTGTAAATACCGACAAGTGTTCCAAGCACCCGGATGGGTGACCACCCAGGTTTTTGGCAACAAATCCTTGCCACACATACATTGCGTGTTCCAAACTAACTGTTGCCCTCTACAAACCGCTAATCACCTTGTTGCCAGGCTTATGATAAATAAAATTAAAAAAACCGGTCAAGTGCGAGTTGGACTCGCGCAACGAGGGTTCCGTACAAACCTGTAGGTATATAAGTAAAAGTTYACCMATCACGACAATCRAGTCATAGTTATGGTATTTTTATTGCAAAATGAAATTTATAACATCAAAATATGGAAAGCTGGAGGATCATAAATACGCGTTCATGAGGAAAAGGATTAGAAGTTTAAAATTATTTGAAAAAAAAAAATGTGATCTAACTAAAAATTTGAGGTTTTCGGAATTTTTCTGTTATATGTGCGATAAAACATTGCTTCATGCCGAATTTCGAGATTATAAATCGACTTGAAGTACCCTATACGTTTTGATTCCCTCGCAAGAAGTCGCGAGTTTGAAAATATGCGGCTTAAATTGTTATTATTTCTTTCGATTGCGTTGCCATAAAAGTGCTATGTAGTATGTACTGACGTCCCGCTGAGACATCTAAACACGCATATATGTATAAGTGACCCTGGGGCGTATGATTTCGCCAACCAATTATATTGTGTAGGACCTCAATAGTTATATCGAAGGCCAAACTTCTAGCCTTTCCAAAATATTACCATAATTGGAATTAAATATACGAAATATTAAATATGAAATCGTAGTCTTGGCAGGCGTATCTAGAGATATGATTAATGTCGTCGGGTTATTGAGATTACGTATCGCGAATAACCAGGATGACCCTTGAATTGGCTCCCTAAACTTTAAAATATTATTATTTAATTAGGGATTCTCATATTATACGCTTTTACTTTTAAGACAAATTTAATGAATGAATATTATTATAATGTAAAATATGAACTCTAAAAAATAAATAAATAAATATAATGTAGTGATTTTAATTATTATTAAGTAGTTATGTATGTTTTTTTTTTAATTTTTGTTATGCCGTGCGTCTTGCAGACCACAACGATAATAATCTATTAGCAATCATTATTATATTATGTTTACGTTATCGGTGTACGGACTGATCACGACGAAAACGGAGATAGTTTTTTATTATTTTAATATCTTGAGATTTTAATAGCAGTTAATCTATTTGTATCTGTCGACTGTCACTATCCGCCAAGTTCGGAGCGTGCACTATGTAATAATATAGACTATAGACATTATGTCCAAATGCTGTCATTGTTTGTTTTTCTAAATTAACATCCTGACTATCGAATGATGTATGTAACCACTATATCACAAAGTAATTGAATATCTCAATGTTTTTCTTGTGTACTAAATATTACATATGACACGGAATGAAATAAACAATTTCCATCACCTACTATGGGAATAAATTGATATTCTGTTTTAAAAATAAAAACTACATTTAATAATAATATTAATGTATTATAAAACAATTTCACTATTTTGTATAACGCCGCAATGTAAATGAATACGCCAGGCAGAGTAACGCACGTTGATGTATAAACAATTTACAACATTTTAAAACACTCGCTTCAAAATTAAAATATAGCAAAAAGCCCTTGAGGTCGCCTAAATAATACTTTTACCTTAATTTTATAAGAGGTCAATCCACTCTACTTTTTAAACTAATGGAGTTAAACGTGATCTGTGTAGTGTATATTTGATTTGTGTAAAATTTGATAAATGTTACGCACTTGCATGATGGAGATATAACATGCGGGTATCACGTCCTATGTAAGTTAAACGCTGACGAGGTAAGAGGACGTGTATTAACTAACAACTGAATTCAAATGGTTTGTAGATAAGTGGTTTTATATAATCTACTCAAAAAATTTTCATGGCCACGAATACAAAAGCCTTATACGAATATTGAATTTTTAAGACATAGATACAGATATTTTTAGATGTAACAAATTAGAAAATTTGTAATATCGAGCGTAAAAATAATATATTTTACTACGTTCACTATTGTAAACAAATAATGTCTCCTACGGGTAACGTCACAGTCCGATTACTCCCACTCCCAATTTTTGATATTTTCTGTATGAGGCAACCTTTATTATCTATAAACCTTGGAAGAATTAAACCAAACTTCGATTCAACATGCAACTATAGAACCTGTTATTAAGTATCATGATAGATACCAAAGATTGACATACTGCCTATAATAAATATCAGAAGATTTGAGGAACGTGAAGAATTGGTTGACATTTTGAGTTAATTACCGAATTTTGAAATTGACCGA